TGGGAAGGCAGTGCGGGATCTGCGGGCTGCGGCGAAGGGTGGGAGAGAGCCTGAGGCCACTCGAAGAAGGGGAGCTCTCCACTTTGGGGAAAGGGAGGAGGGAGAGAGCGCGGAGGTGCGGGGCGGGGGGCAAGGGGGCGGCGGGGGCAGAAGAAAAGAAGAAAGGAGGGGAGGAGGAAAGCGAGCGCGCGCAACTTCACGCTTCCACGAGGTCGCCAACCCGCGGAAAGCAGACGCTGGGTTCCTGAACCCTGCGGGCACGCCCAGGCGTGCGGCGGGGGACCCCGGCGCAGCGTTCCCTGCCGCTGCGGGCCCCCACCCGGAGGAGCCGGCCGCGCGGGTGCGTGAGCAGGTGATTTTATTCACTGCTTCCCTAATCGGCGAAGTCCCAGGACTCGTTTTCCGCCTGCAGATTAAAATCATTGCTCGGGTAATGAACTTAATGCTTTAGGGTAGAGGTGAGTGTATCTGCGAGTGGGCAGGGGTAAGAATTACCGACCCGATCGATGGGAGACTGGCTTAAAACTAAATCTCTTTTCTCCAGAGCTTCGTCGCCAGTGTTTCCCGGCTGCAGGTTGAGTGTGCTGGGCGGGCGGAGGTAGCGCGCGGAGGGCGACCCCCGAGCGCGGTCCGCAGGAACCGAGACCCTAAATGCCCCCCCATCTCCCCACTGAGACCCCGGGGTACCCGTTATTAAGGCAAGGACTTTTAAAAGCTCGAATGTTGGAAAACCGATCGCTCAATGTGTTTTGTTTTTCCTTCCAGCTCCGCCTTCGCGAGGGAACGTTCCTGACGCGTTGGCCGGCAGGTTGGGCCAAAAAGGGAGTCCACCCCCACCCCCAGCTATCAGCCACCTCCTTCAAGGGGCGATCCCCTACTCTCCCTCGCCGCTCTTTCCAGGGCTCTGGAATGACCAGCCTCCCGTGGACTCTACACTTGGCCACCCTGAGTGTTGCGGGCCGCCTAACAGCCAAGTGGGTGCGGGGTACACGGGAGAGGGGAGTGAGACCAGGGGAAATACCCGGCCAAGCAAGTCACCCCACTACCCAATTCCACGCCACTCCATCCGTCGTCCAAGCGCCTACGCAGGAGCTTTGCGCCAGATCCACTCGGGCCGAGGGCCTGCTGGGATCCGAAAGGCAGGGGAAAGTTTGCACAGATTTTAGTAAGTGATTCCTAGGAGCTCCTGCTTAAGGCATCGAGGTGCTACCCACGGCTCCCTACTGTGTCTTTCAGACAATCGCCTTTCAGACAGTCTTGGCCCACCTGGCGGACCCTGCCCAGGTCCCAAGTGCCTTTGGACCCCAAGCTCTCGGGGTCTCGTCCCCAGCGCCACCGGGAGACTCCGGAACAGAGGTCATCAAGAAGCCTCTAGTCCCCTGCAAAGCACCCCTGAGCGGTTCCCAGGGAAAGGGACCCATATCCCCCAGGGGGTGCCTCTCCACAATCTTCTGCGCAGATCTGTGGTCGCTTCGTCTCCAGAGGCAAAGTCAGCAGCCCCCTTAGACTTAACTTTCTTGTTGTGGTGGAGAGGAAGTAGGAGGCTACTGGAGGTGCTGGAGCAGTGCCCCCAACACGCTCTGGCCTCTGAGCAGAGACCTGTGCACCCAGGTACCCGGGCGCAGGCCGGAACGCCGCGCACCTTAGGAGACAAGGGCAGCCGCGTCCTGGCCTGCACTCCTCGTAACTGTCGCCCGAGGCCCGCGGGATTTTGTCGCGGCGCGGGCTCGGCCTAGCCTGAGGCCAACGGCTACCGCCTTCCAGCTTCCCAATAGCAGACTTGGAAGGTGGGGGGCGCTGCACACAGTAACCAACGCCGGGCGCAAATTCTGTGCGCCTCGTGGGAGACGCGGGCGGGAGGGGGAGGATAGGGCTGTATTTTCCCTTTTGCAAACCTCTCAACTTCCCCGCGAAGTTTTCGGACAGGCACCTCCACGCCAAGGTCCCAGCCTCGCACCGCCCCCGCGAACCCAGCCAGCCGGAGCCTCGGACCAGACCTGGCCGCCCACTGAACCCCCAGGGGGGACCCGGTGCCTGGGGCGCCGCGGCGCCCTGCCCACCCGCTTCCCGGGCCCCGCGGGGTTGCCTCTCCCCCGGGCGCAACTCGCCGACCGGGCGCACTGCAAGGAGACACCCGCCGCCTCCCGAGAACTCCTAATACCATCCATACAGCTTTAATGCGTTTATAATTCGATAAGTGATTTCAATTTAAAATTGTTAGTAACTAATTTTATGGGTAATTTTTCCACATCAAATATTTAAGCATCAGATTAAGGGAGCCAGTTCCGACACAGGATAATAAGGGGTTTTTCCCCCCACCCTCCGCGCCTCCGCCTCCCTCCCGTTCCTACCGAGTCGTTTTTCCAAATCCCCAAAAGGTGGCAGTCGAAGCCGACGTTCCTCGGGTCCGGCGGCTCTGCGAGGGGCGGAGGGGGAGGCGGCGAGGGAGGGGGCGGAACAGGGGAAAAGGAGGAAGAGGAGGGAGCGAGCGAGCGGAGAGGGAGAAGCCAGACGATGCAGGGGCTTCTCAAACTAATACTTTCACACGTTTCTAATACAAGCCAGGAGCAGCGGTGAATTTCCTGGAAATGTCCTGGCAGAAAAGAAGGTCAGAAAACGTGCCTTGGGCTCCGAGTCGGAGATGTGAGAAACTCGGCACTTGGAAAGTGAACTCTCCATTCAGAGCAGAAGAGGGAGAGGGGAGACTGGGAGACAGGCTGGCTTTTTCATAGTTCCTCGTATTTTAACATTGCATACTAATACCAAACAGCAAGGCCACTCGTGTCTTCCAGGACTGGACTCTGCGAGTTACAGAACGGGAGGAGAGGCGTGGGTGTGGGGAAGGTGATGGGGGGCGGGCGCAGCCGCCGATGAATCGCAGACCAGTTGCCAAAACTTTTTTTTCCTCCTGCTGCTGCTGCTGCTGCCGCCGCTGCCTCCGCTTCTGCTGCCGTTGCTTTGAATGTGGGTAACTAGGAAACAGCAAGCCGCCTGAGAAGACGGAATTTCCAACGTGTAAAATGTTCTTAACGGAACCATTGAGCGAGTGCAATAAGGCGTGAGGGGGAACTAATCTTCCCATTTAAATGTTTGTGGCAATTTTATCTAAATGAATTTTAATGCTAAACGAGGGTAATTCCCCATTTGTAGCGCGTTTACTTCTCTTTCCTGTGCTTCTAAAGCACTAGAACATCACGCAATGAACAATAACAATAAAAATACTGTCAAGGCATATTATTCATTTTGAATGTGTTATAATTACAGCTGATTAAATATGATAGGGTAAAATATTTTTAATTTTTTTTGGAAAAAATATTTAAATTATACCGAAAGGTAATCTCCTTCCGCCAGTGCTCTCCTCCCAAATAAAAATACGAAGCAGGTACGATTGCGTGCCCTTGTGTAGAGGAGGGCGTTTTGGTTTCGCCTTTTAAGAAACACCGGAAACGCTCAGCACCTCTGTTAATTCCCTCTTTCGGGGACGTGTCCTCAGTAACCTGGGAACCGGCTCTAAAATGTCCCAGAGGAAGAGCAAAAACGCCACGAAGGGGGGGGGGGGGTGTCCAGGCAAAAAAAAAAAAGGACCCGCGGAGAGCGAGGCTGTCACAAAACCATCACACGGGGGGGGGGGGGGCGGTCAAGGAAAGAACATAGTGTGTTTTGGATTTTTTCTAATTCACGGGGCACTAATGATCTTGATTGTTCATAGCCTCCATATTCCTTAACTCCTCTTCACGTGTGTCCTTTTGCTCGCGCTCTCTCTCCCTCCTCCCCTCTCTTTCCCTCCCCGACCCAGCAAGAGCTTCCTCAAGAATAAAGGCTGAAAATAACCAGCTCACCCAGGCATGTACTGGGGAGGAGGGGCACATGGATGGTTAGTTTATAAAGTTTATTATTAATTTTTAAAGTAAATAAATGGTTGTTAACGGCTAGTAACCACCTATCAAAAGAGAAGTATCTCACTAATAGGAACTATTTATGTAAAGGAAGAATTGCCACCGGGTCCAAAGGGATATTTAAACAAATCCCATCTATGGGGTGGGGGTGGGGTGGGGTGGGGTGGAGGGCGCTGAGCCGGGAGGCTGCAGAAGCCTGAGCCTGGCTCTCTCATTCCGCGTGTCCACGTGTTGAGAAACAAGGCCCCATAAACAAAAGGTGAGAGTGCGCACTGCTGCTCCCGCAGGTGAGTCAGTCAATCACACGTCACCTAGTAAACCCAGCCCACAGCTGGTTTCCCTTCTCACACAGAAAATAGAATTGTTCAGGGCAGGTTTATAGAGTGACGTGGGCCCGAATGTCAGACTTGCGTTTAAGGAGCTCTCCTCCAGCCCATCCTTTGTTTACAAAGCAATCACTGCTAAAAGGCTGATTTTAAAAAATGAATTTGCCTTAATTAAAATATTTGTATATTTTCCTTAGCTTTGGGAAGCACTTTTATAGCAGCAATTTTATTTAAATAAAATTATAAGCTCTTCCAGCTTAAGCATGTTATTTTGTGCTATTTAGCTGGCTGCCATGCAGAAATTCTGTACAGCTGTTCTGGAAAATTAGTTAATAACCAGTGTTACCCAATGAGAACACAGAGCGTATTTGTAAAAATTAGATTTTGAAGTCTGGTCTCTTCAATTCATGTAGTTAATTTCCTTATAAACATATACTGCTCATCATAGGTAACATCGTCAGCAAAATACTTAACTCTGCACTTGGTTTGCCATTCTGTGCAAGAATAATTTCACTGATATTAGATGAGTAATTCTGTCGGATGTAATGAGTCTATAGTTAGTTTAGAGCCCTTAGCCTGAAATGTTCTGATATTAGTTCATTAATTCAGCTTAAAGAAATCAGTAACTATTATTAAATAATTTGCTTTGTGGTTAAAAAATTTCAAATATATATATATATAATGTCTTAGGGAGCTAAGATTCATGTTTACATTTACTGCATTAATCATCAAAATTAGGGGGGGCAGTAAACAAATTTTTCAAGCAGTGGAGTCAGCATGACAAAAATAATCTCGTTTTTATTTTAGGTTCAGATTTCATTACTGCACTCGAACAACTACAACCGGACTTGGCGTCACTGTACAACCCAAACTGCTTCCGTCAGAAACGCTGAGACTCGTGTGCGGTGATTGTTATTAATAATTAGCTCCTTGGTTCTTGATAGAAAAAGGCTATCAACAAGCATTTGTTTATCCACAACAAAAAGTATAATTAGCTTATCCCACTTAGTAAATCTTGTATGCATGCCAACTCATACCAAACTGCTACTTTTACAAAAAAAAAAATTGCAATAATACAGTTCATTTTTCCAGTCCTTTTTGCACAAAATTTATTTACAATGTCTACATAAATGCTCCAAGGTGGGACTATGGAAAAATACACACATGACCGATGCTTTGCTCAGAAATAAAGTCAACATATTAAAAATAAATCTTCAGTCTATGTTTTTGAGCTGCATAAAACAGGAAGTGATGTATAAGGTGGCGGTTGTTGCATGGGGACAATGATGCTCGATGTGACAATTGGGCTTCTACACACACGGCCTTTTGGTTTCCATGCTTCCTCCTACCAGTCTCCTTAAGACACTGCCTGCAACAGCTGATTAATCATTGTTGATGACTGCAGTTTTTCCCATCCTTCCCGATTTACATCTGTTCAGGCCAATTCAAATATGGTGAGTAAATGAATTAGACATGCAAATTCAAGCCCCAGGCTAGAAAGAGGGAGAGAGAGGGAAAAAGAGAGAGAGAGAGAGAAAGAGAGAGAGGGAGAGACAGCGCGCGCATGGCTGAAATCCTAGGCGAGAAGAAAGATTCTTCCGCCTGATAGTTATTTTAATGCTCTAAAAATCCTGCAAATCAGACCTTCCTGTCCCTTGCAGGATAACTGTAAGGCTTTTTAATGTAAGGAGGCTTCTGGAGGAAGTGAAGAGCTATGGAAACAACACACATAGTGTGGAAAAATTTCACATTTTTCTTAAAAAATCTATAAGAAACAACGTAATATGGATAACAGTATAATAGCATTTACAATATTTCACTCTTTGTTCTCTTAATGTCTTATATAGTTATTTAGCATGTCCCCCAGATTGACTTCGGTTGGTAGTTCCTGCTTTTTAAGAGTCCCTATGAAGAATTAGGGATGCTCCTTGGTCCAAAGTAGATGCCAAGAATGGAACTCCACAATCATTGCAGAAAAAACATGATTTGAAATCAGTCACCATTGCAGACAATGCATATTCCCTTAAGCTACTGAGCATGAATGTCCATGACTTGTCCACTCATTGTTGGGTCTCCTGTATTAAGAACCGTGGGGCTTGATGCTGACATTGGCATTCCAGGGTGGGGCGGTCCTCCATGCATCATCACTGTTGGGTGGTGAGGGTGTCCAGGAATGTACGTATGCATGGGGGGCCCATGACGCAGCTGAGCAGGATGGGGGGGCATCTGGGGTTGGGTATAACTTGGCTGTCCCATACTCACACCCATTGGACCACCCCGGGCTACATACTCCCCTGGCATACTTTGCAGCCCTGTAGAAATTCAAAAGAAAGAAACAAAAAGAAAATATTATGAAAAAGCAATAGTGTGGTTCTGGCTATGGCAATCCTATGAAAGGCAGGGGACACTGTGATTAAGGGAACATGGCTCTGTGAAATATTCTTTTCATTCATATAGAAGAAAATAAAATGAGAAATGTTGTGCTGGAAACTCACATTTTGTGACTACTTTTTTTTTTTCATTGTCATTGTACCAGGTCAGCCTACTGAGGTCTTGTTTACTTAACAAACAAAACTGTTATTTGAGGTCTGGTCTGAAAAAAGCACTTTTGTTCCCTGGGATATTCTCTACCAAGAGTACAAGAGTACCCTGCAACAGTCATGAAACATCTCACATGAAACTAACTAGATAGGCTCACTAAGGTTGATTACTTAGCTAAACTCATACTTTTGGAAAATTAAAACAAAACAAAACCATAACAGTTATCAATGAATTCCTTCCTCATGATTCCTTAGAGCTGGGGGAAAGAAAGCCTGTACAAAACCCTGCCCACCTTTCAATGATTTTGAGAACAATAAGAAAAATTGAACCTAAAACAATACCCCTCCTGCTTTGAGAGGCCTCTTGTCTTCTGCATGGATTGCTATAGTTGATGGAAACTGACAGGTGTATTGTTTCTGAGAGCTATAAGCTCCATAATCATCAAGGGTGAAAGGCATAACGCTATTGCTAAGTAGGTTCAATTGGCTTTAGTTCTAAGTAATAGTGTACTGTGAATACGATGAACACCTTCGAATAAGGTCTCCAGGCTCTTGCAATGAATGGCTGCTTAATCTAGCCTAAAGGAACATTTTTGAACTAATGAAAATTGCTTATAAAATATACTGTACCCACAGCTCTTTAATCAAAAAAGATGATAATATTTTTTGTAATAACCTATTAATTTAATTGGTCACGAAGCATAAAATACATCATTTAAATTTAATTGACCCAGAAACTAAGAAACAATATTTAAATTAACTTAGCTAGAGAATTCCATGATGAGGTAATAAGACTGTTGCATTCTTGTGTTCAGTGGAATGTTTTCAGGAGCTAATTGTTAAACTTTTATTTGCCTCACACCCAGAGAGGAAGACCAATATGAATTACCCTTGGCCTCAGCAGCAGTTTTAAATAGTGTGTTAATATAATCAGAGACACAACCAAGACTCAGCTCTAACTGATTTTAATTCCAGAAACAAAGGTAGAGCAATGCCATCAGGGGTAATTTAGAAAGCGAACCAGGGCTTTGGTGTTCAAAACAGTCTTAGTTGTTTGAACACGGATGGCTGGAGTGTCTTTTTTGGAGAGAAAATGCAAGAGGGAGAATCTGGGACAGTTTTCCTAGGCCCACTCCACTAGGCCTGCCACCGAAGATTGCATTAATGATCTCTATTTTTGTATACTGAATAAGTCAAATCCATTTGTCACACTTCGAGTGATGGCATACTTAATTTGGATATAGTCAATTAGCCTAGGCTAAGCCCCGCAGCCTGCTGTGCACACCTCTATTTTGTATTCTCCCTTTTTCCATTGCCACACGTAATCCCATTATGATGGACAGACAAAGGAATAAACTAAGAAAAAAAAATCAAAGTTTGGTTGACTGAAGCTCAAAATATGCCTTTACTTACCCTAAGTAAAGCTAGTGTTTATTTTCCCTAAAAGAAGTCTCTGTTTGGCTTTTCCGTGTCTTGCAGGTTAGTGTAGAAATGTAACTCATGCATCAACTGCGGTTAGACAGATTTATGACACTTTGGGGACATGCTCTTTCCTCTCCTTGCACTGCTGCAGACTGCTTACATTTTGCAAATCAGTCTGTTGCTATGACAACCCACTCCCCCACCTCCTGACTGTTTCTTATTTTGTCATGTGGTCAGTACTGTATAATAGCAACACACAGGATAAATGTACATCATACACAGTATTTATAAGCTTAAAAGCTTGATCACCACCAAAGAGAAAATGAAGGAAGCAAGAAACCAGGAGTTCAATGGAAAGGAATGAACAAGCATGAAGCTATGGGCAAGGAGAACATAAGAAAATGCAAGAGGAAAAATATTCCTAGGACAAAGTGAAAACAAAGACCCCATTTGTACTTACTTCCCCCTGGCTTTGCGATTGGTTAACTAGATGAAGGTTACATGTAGTGCCACTGCCCCTCCATGCCCATATTCATGCCCATTCCACTCATAGGTCCTAGAAGGGAGATAAAAATCCAAGAAGAGGCCAGAAAATGAGCAAAGTCAACAGATAGTGCCAAAAGACCCTTAAAAAAATAGATTCCAGAGGGTTGAGAAACAGTGAGATCTTCAGTGCGTAAAGATCCTGGCTTCCCCTCTGCAATACTTAGACGCACAGATGGCAGGCAAGGCAGGCAGCTTGAGATAACAGCAAAGGATGAAGTGGATTTACCTGTGCTGATGGGAGTGACACTCTCGGAGTTACCAATGAGAAGCAACCCCAAAACAGCCTTACCTGGTGCCCTGATGCCCATGTGTTGCTGACCGTCCATCACGAAACCTCCCATTGGCTGTCCGTCGGGGTTATAAGGTGTTCCTTGACTTACTATAAAAGTGCAGAACACAAGTTCTTAACAACAGTCTCCAAGAGAGAATAAAATAGCCAGAGACAGAGAGAACATACCAGGCGGATGTAATTTTAAAACATTTGAAGTTAAATTTCAGCTCTCCATACCTCTGACCAAGTTTTAAAACCCTGTTTGCAGAATAGTGAACATACGGAAACTCCATGTTTGGGTTTCACCTGGCGCTCACACAACGGTTGTTGAAGGGAAAAAAAATTCCAGGAATACGACTAAACATGCAGTGACTCAATGTAGCACTTTACACAGTTTTCCACAGCGCTCCCTCTGAGACCAGACAGTGTTTCCGAGGAAAGTAAAGACCCACATCACCCCTAGTAAATACTGTTGTTGATCTCGCTGGTGTGTTACAACACAGAAATAAAGCCTAGAAAGATGTTTCTTGGATTTTTAGGTCTGCAAGCTGGGATCCCATAGAAGTACTGCCATTTTAAGCTCAGATTAAAAATCAAAAAGCTGTTATTAACAAAAAAAAAAGTTGACTAGGACAAGGCCTGAGAAATAGGAATTGTGTGTTTATACCACTACCTGAGTCCCATGTTTTAACTGTACATGAAAAGCTGCTTCAGAAGTAAGCTGCCTTGGGTTATTAAAGCACACAAAAGCTCTACCTCATTGAATGTCTTTGAACTTTACTGAGTCCCACAAGCGATCCTGACCCCTTTGCCCTTTTGACAGGTAATAAAGTTTACAGCAATTCCACACCAAGCCATGCACCAGGGAGTGGTCATAGTAGCAGAAAGAGCTGGGAAGGCAAACTCAGAAAAAAATAACATTAATATATTGAATGTGTACAAAGAATATTGTAACTGAGCATATGATTTAAGAGTTACTTTTCTGTTGGCTTTTTTCCCACCTTCTCCAAACATTTTATAATGATGTTAAATTGATTAGTGTTGTTATGAAATGAAACTGGTTTCATTTTAATTGCCAGGCGCTCCTAGCACTCACTCCCAGTTTATTTACCAGGTATCGGACCTCCCGGTGAATGGCTTGAGGATGGTTTTCGCTTGCGTGACTTGAATACAGTCACTATGGGGGACTTGCCTGCTCGGTTGGACTGGTCTATCATGGGCTGCACTATTCTCCTCCGGGCATTAATAAACCTGTAACCAAGAAAGCAGAGCAAATCATTATATCTTAAAACAAAACAAAACAAAACAGAATGGGGGGGTAGAGGAAGAGAAGATGGATAGCAGTGAGAGCAAAGCCCGATCTTGGCAAAACGGTCTTCTCCCCTGTTCTGTGCAGTTCCGCTGCTGCAAAACCCGCAACCCCTGGTGACCTTTGAGTACATAGGCTTGGGGTTTCTGAGTTGATTTATGTTTGCCTGTTTTACCACAGTTGGACACTTCCATTTCATCTTTTCATGGGGGAATTAGGGGAGTTTTCAGGAAACAATACTAGCTGGCCACCACTCTTTTCAATTGCGAGGGGTGGGGGAAATTTAGTGGAGAGAGCAAAATGTCCGTAAGGGCATCTGTTACCGCTCCTAATTAGTGACATTTCAATCTTATGTTCCCTGACTTCTTTTTTACAATTTTTATCAAAACCTTCCCTACCTCTTACAAACCTAATTCTATTTTAATGCCCACTATTAAGATAATGAACTGGGATGGCAGCACACCATCAAATGAGGGAATGTCTGGAGTTTATCACCACTAACCCACACTGCTGGGGACTTCAGAGAAATGCATTCCTTGTAGAGATTTCTTGGGGTGGTTTTTTTTTTTTTTTTTGCTCTTTATGCAAAGTCTGAGGTCAAGGCAAGGTCACAGCTATACAGTAATTGAACTTATAATCTTGCTTTCTCCAGCTAGACCTGAAATTTTATAATGAACATCTTATTAAGATATTTAAGTCGCTTAAGTGTCTTAATGAGATTTTCCTTACAATTTTTGTTGGCTCTCCAAGAGTGATTAATACAAGCTATCCAAAGCCATGCGTGTGAAATTTCTAACTCTTAAAATCTGTCTGTACTGAGTAATACTGAGAATTACATATTGAATACAGAAAATGAGTGGGACATATTAGATTCTGAAATAGTAAATCGCTTTCGGTTCTCAGCTCAGATTTGAATATATTGAACATGAGCAGCACATAAAAATACAATTAAAAGTTTAATAATACACTATTAATAATACAGAATTCACAGTCCAGTATGAATTCTAGTTTGTAAGTCTCCCTAGTTCAGGTAGGAAAATAGATCCCCAAACACAAACTATTAAACAGACAGGGACAGATTTTTAAAATAAAAGTGAATACTTCCTGATATGTTAAGATTCTCAGTATCTTACAGTCTTGTTTCTTCATTACCTGAGAGGTAATTAAAATAACAACGGTGGAATTTAACTAAAAGGACACTGTTGGTGTGAACTCCTGATAATGCATATCATATCAGTTCTTGGATATGAAGTCCCTGAACTGCTAATAAAAATATTTAAAACAAGGATCTAAAACAAATTGTGTTGCAAATCAGGTTACCATTATCTTGTATAAACCATGGAAATTGGAATCATGTGAGCAGAAGGTTAGACTAATTCTCCAGTCTCATTATACGCACAGGTGTAGCACAAACACTATGTGAAATAGCCAATTAAAATGAAAAAAAAATCTGCTTTTTCATTAGCTGCCTTCACTGCATGACCAATTAGAAAATGATTTAATATTAATATTCTGCATATACCAACAGTAATTTTCGTAGCAGCTAACACAGGTAAGAGAGCAAAACCCAGCTCTTCGTCTGTGGGACTGTCGGTAATCTGCAGGGTCTTAGCGGGAAGGAACTCTGGTAACTTTTTTAAAGTCCCTTTAAAAGCATAATATTTTTGTGGATATGATTTATACTGTTTATCTACAAATAGGAAGCACACTTCTAACAGATGCAAAACCACAGCTCAGGGAAGTCACTTACTTATTTGAGGTCACATGTCACCCAAGAGATGTTAATCATTTGCTGAATGACACACAGCTGGTGAACCTAATGGCAGCAAGCACCTACGCCTCTAATGTCCTAACCAAAGCATGGCCACTGCTGTGTTACCCATCTAGAATATCCCGAACTACATAGATTTTTAAAAATAAGCTGGTTTTGCCCTGGCTGGTGTGGCTCAGTAGATTGAGCGCCGACCTGCAAATCAAAGGGTTTCAGGTTTAATTCCCAGTCAGGACACATGCCTGGGTTATGGGCCAGGTCCCCAGCTGGGGGCATGTGAGAGGCAACCACACACTGATGTTTCTCTCCCTCTCTTCCTTCCCCTCTCTAAAAACTAACTAAATCAATAAGTAAATAAATAAATAAATACATAAATAGCTGGTTTTGAGCCAGTCACCACTGGTGGCAACTCTATTGCTGATTCCAAGAATAAGCAGGACTGAACATTTTGTAGACTAAGAATTTTGATGACCATCCTGCTTGCGTACACGAAGATAAAGCTATGCATAAGAAGATTCAGTGATCTATATTCTAAAGCTTGCCTCCTTCACATCTGTACACTCAGATTTCCAAAGACCACTTCATAAAACAAGCTCAGGTTTGAACCCATGACAATTAAACCCATGAAATCAGAGAAAAATTGTACCTCGCGTTTGGAAGGGGCTTTAACGGCCACCTGGCTTGGTCACTGATGTGGATCCCCTCTCTGATATCCCCATCTGATAGATGGGTAGCCTCCACCGGACTGTTCCTGATACAGTACTTCCCACCCCTCCTGACAGTCCATTCGTTCTATGGACAGTCCATTCATTCTAGCAGCTCCTGCCTTACCTGACCTAAAATGCTTTCGCCAGGACAACTCCTTGGGGTAATTTAAACAACTTTAATCTCACTTCTTTAGAATTGCCTTTCAAATATTTCAACTACAGCCATCATGCCCACTGGCTTCTCCCCTCTTCTCCCCAAGTTACACACTGTGACTCTTACCAAGTTCATTCTAGAATGTGAGTTCTTTTAGGGTACTGAGTTCACTCACCACCTGAGCCACTCTTTGCTCACCATGCTGAGGTTTGTCCGTGCGCCCCTGAAGGTCTTCGGAAGACGACACTAAACGCCAACCTCCAAGCCTTGCTGTGGTGCCCATGCAGGGAGCCAACACCTCGCTGCCAGCTCTCAGCTCAGGGCCCCCAGGGACTAGGTGCCATTTGTTTTTCTTGTGGTGGCAGTAATTAGTCATTGTTACTGATGACACCAGTGTCTGCCACATATGGGATGCATAGATATGAAGGTGGGACTTCTTTCATTAAATAAAAACAACCAAACTTTGAAAACCTAAGAATGCCTAATCACTTTGTCTAAACCACTAGACCACGTACTTGGAACTTCTCATTTCTGAAAACTTCATCAACTTGTATAGGGGCCTCATCAACTCTCAGAATGCTACTGAATTACAATTCCTGTACTTACAGGAAACAAATTATTATCTGGGGTCACAGTAGATAGATATATTTATCTGAAAATAACTAAGAACAAAATATTTTCATTTTTAAAACATCATCCCTTTGAACTTAAAACCATCTCAACATGTGATTCTCCTTAGTGCATTTTATCATTCTCCCAGACTGTCTTATATGTCCTCTCTTTGGAATTACACTCTATACAGCAAAGCCATGTGTTTAGATGGCTTCAGGGTGAATTCAGATACAAAAACATTTTCCTTCTGGGCAAAGCAATAAAATGACATTCTTGCTCCTCCCACTCTAAGTCAAACAGAGGTCAGTTCCCCCATCCCTGTATCTGTTTAAATAAACTGGTCCAGCTGTTTGTTTCTAAAATGCCCTTTGACCTTGTGTCTCATCCTCCCCGCTTTTGCGACAATGCTTCACTTTCCATTGTGGAAGATTCTAAATTATCAAGAATTTTCTAAACACTGAACCAAAAAAGGAACTTTACATTTTATGTGAACTTCTATGAATATATTCCCTTCTTAAAATACTGTCATTTCCAGAAGCATCCGTAAAATACTCATTTCAAGTTCATATGTGTGTGTTCCAATATATATCTATATTTACATGTGAATACATAAATATATATATATATTAGAACTTGAACATAAGAAGCAGTGTTTTTTAGAGAGAAATGAAAAAAGAGAAGATAACCCCACTTTCAATATACAATAAAATATACTTTCTCCAAAAACCATGAAGTAATTTAAAATAAAATATATCCATGAAGTACACACAATCTTTAGAATTTCCCATGTTGATAAGGTCTGTTTAAGAAGTTTGTTAGCTTAAAGATATAAGAGAAAACTTTTCCACTTGATGTCCCAACACTACAGCCTTTAGAACTCAGATGTATGCATGACATCAGGAAGACACAGAAGCCAGAGAGTTTTTCTGACTCACTAGAGGAGTTCCACGCCAGGGGCGAAGAGACTGTAGCTCGACCTTGCCACAAACTGGGCATTTGAAAAGGTAAGCCTTCCAGTCGAGTGTGCTTTCAAGTCGGGAAACATTCTGTTTGCCTTTCCATGTTCCATTCTGAACACCGAGGTATACTTTTAAAAATCTCATTCTGCTTTGAAATTACAATCTTCTTTTGTGAAATACTCTTTAAGAACTGGATGTTCTGTAGGTGGTAGAAGACTAAATAAGGGAAATAATTCTTATATTCCCTTTTTTCATAGAATCATGGATTAGACTTTCTTCCTGTGACCCAACTATCTCCTTTCTCAAATCAAGAGGTTTTAAAAAGAAAAGGAATGTAATGGATTGACTTTATAGCTTTATTCTATATCAAGATAAACACAGATATACTTGTATTTCTTTTTTTTTAGTTATTTAGTTATTTGGTGTTTTTTTTTTTTTGGTTATTTAGTTATTTGTTTAGGACACAAGTCCTAGTTAGGGGAAATGGTAGGTTAACAGGGAAGCAAAATCTTCAAAAGTATAGCACACAAGATCACCTCAAAGTTGCATTTTAGTCTTTGCATTTTTAAATAGGAATCAGACAGGGAGAATGGGAGATGAATCCTGAGTTGTGCCAAAAAGAAATACACAAAGTTTTGCTTTATTCTTTCTTCTCTTCGCCCCCCAGATCTTTGTATTAGACTTTTTTTTCATTCTGTTAATTCCACCTTCCTCCTTTTATTCTCAGTCTGTGAATACC